TTTTGTGTTATTGAAAAGACTTACCACGGGAAAACCGGTGGTATATTTGTTTTTCTTTATTGGTCTCTTAGATTTTTTGGGTATTTAAAGATATTTTTTTTTTTTTTTTTATGTTGTTAAATATTAAAAAGGTTTTTTTTTTTTTTTTTCAATTTAGGTTCGTTAATGGCATTGTGTATTACGGAGTGTCCTTCAGCTCCCCCACAGTAGGAGGCAACATGTATCTCAACTTCTTTATAACAAGCACCATTGCACTAGTGGCTTACCCCGCTTTGGCATGGGGCTGTAACCGGTATGCAACCTTGCTTGTTTAAGGTTTATGCTTCCGCACCACACACTAGTCGTTTTTCTCCGTTAGTCAATGCTCTCCTGCTCTCCAATGCCTTGGCCATTGATGCATTTTTCATTTACACTTCCCCATTCTTTTTAATTTCTTTACTCTCTTCATTTGTAATTTAAATAGCTCAAATAGCTGAATTACACCTTCGCTCATCTTACTACTATATGTGACTTTTTTTTACCATTCTTGTAGATTTGGTCGTAAGAAAACCATCTGCTGCGGTCTGTTTTTCTCTGCTTTTGGTGCCTTTGGTTCGGTATTACTTACACTATTTGATGATGGAAACAACACAGGTATAACAATTTTTAACAAGCTATCGTATAACTCGAGTATAATTATAACAGTTTTGGCTAACATATTTGCGTTTTAAACATGTGACTCCCACCCATTGTCGTTTCTCAAGAAGTTGTCAGCAAAATATCGTTAATGTAAGGCATTTATTCACGTTTTAGGTCCTTTAAGTTTTCTGCTTTTCCTTATTAAAAAAAGGACTTTTAATATATCAAATGTAGCTTTTTTTATTAAAAAAAAACATCATTTACGTGAGGAAACATGTCTTACATACATGTACATTAATTCAAAGAAATTGAAGACAAAAATAGAAGCAGTATATAAAGTGGAGGGAAAAAAAACTTATTACAGTATTCTCAAGATGAAAGAAACAAGTGTGTCTCTTTTAAAACGCGAGGGCGGGGTTAGGCCGACGTAAAGATAGTTTTGTCTGGGTTTCCCCGAAAGCAACGACTGCATCCCAATCATATTTATAGATTAGCCTTTTAAAAATTAGTTTCCCAGTTTACCCTAGGGGTAATGTGGCGATCTAAAGAAGAAAGCAATTCAGACGTTTCGTTATGTAAATAATATCAACTGCTTTTCTAAAGTCTTTGTTTCATTTTAATGTTTCCTTTTTTAGGAATATTAGTTGGGAAAATAATATTTTCACTATGCATCGCCAAGTTTTTCATCGTGTTTGCTTTTGACGGATTCTACGTTTATTCAGCTGAGCTGTTTCCAACTGTCATTAGGTAAATGTCTTCTCTTTTTCTTCTATTTACATCCAGGCATGAGGCATGAAAACCTTTTGTTAGTGTTTAAAAAGATTTTCAGTAGTCTACATTCTCGCCGAGGGAAACATTTAGAACGACTGTCTCAAGCATTGTCTGTATTTAGATTAGTTATAAACTAATCAGTGTTCCTGCAATCCACAGAAATATCGGTATGGGAACTTCGACTTCTGCTGCTCGTGTTGGTTCTTTCCTTTCTCCCTACGTTGTCTTTTCGGTACGTTTATCCTATTTTAAAGTGACCTGTCATTAAATGCTAAGATCAGCAATGTAAGGCCTGAACAAAATCATCGTTGGAGACCCTCTGGTCAATCAGTCGGGTCGGAAGAAACAGGGCGACGAATTTTTTGATGCCTTGGTGCTTGAAGACTTTTGTTGTACAGTTTCTCCTGATCCGACTATACTGGCCATTAGTCTTCAAAGATGTTACATTTTGTGTCAGAAAGCGAAAACCTTTTAAGAAGGTCATATGAAACTTTTTTTCACCGTATTTTTTGGGTTATAAGGCGCAACATGTTTTCGTCAAATGTTGGATTCATAAAGCTCACAATGTGTTGTAATTTCGGGGTGCGTCTCAAGGCAAGAAAACAAAATTTTGCCAACTTTTTTACTCTAAAAGCTCTAGCTGTTCATCCTCTACTTTGTTACCTGTGGTCAATGAAAGTTTTGTTACTTAAGTAACATTCAGGAGATATGATTTTATTAAGAAGGCCCTTGATGATACCATGAACAATGACATTTTTTTGGTCTATTTCTTGGTTTTAGTAATTGCGGATAACTTGTGACTTAAGGAATTATACAAGTACCTTCTCTGGAAGTTGACAGTTGTTGGAAGCCCTCCTCTTCACACCGTGCTCCAGTTTGAAATCCCAACGAATTAGGTTTAAATAACAAAACAAAAGTCATCTAATCAATTGAAAGGCCTTCGGTCATAAGGACATATTAAGTACGAATTGTCGATAATCGTTATTTGTTATCTTCCTCTACAACAGCAACGTGTTCATCCTCTCCTGCCGTTTGGCATCATGGGTATCAACGCTTTGATTGCCGCGCTACTATGCATGACATTACCGGAAACGCGTAACCAACCAACTTTGGAGACCTTTACAACATCGGATCAACAAGGTGACACCATGAAAGAGATGATGGTTAAGGAAAGCGATGATGGACATACAGATGATAGCCGTTTGTAAAAACAGGGTTACACCAGGTTAACATAGATTGCTTAAATCGACTTAAACCTTTCTCTCTTGTGAGCAGCCCAACGAAAAATTCTAAATTTCACTTATAAAATTCTCGATACTTATGTACTTAGATAATGGATATAATACTTATATAGATATAGATATAATACTTTATACCATGCGAAAGTTAATTCGCCACGATGCTGTATCGAAATGGCCTCATAGAATAGAATAGAATAGAAAAATAGAATAGTTCTTTTTATTATTATTAAACACGGTAAATTCTATCAGGAGTATAAAAATTCTTGATAACCTAACTATCCTAAACAAAAATGCAAACCTAACTAGAACCAATCTAACTGAAACTTGGTTTTCATGAATGCCATGTATACTTAATATTAGAAATTAAGATTAACTAATCGTTAAAAACATGTCACATGGCAGAACTGCTCCACTATAACTAAACCTGTTCTTCATAAATGCCTACCTCGATCGATTTCTCCATTTCTTATTGCCACAAATCCCCCGGTTATTTCCTCATAACCAGCTAGAGTTAAGCAAATTTGGAAGGCGTTTGCGATATCTGGTAAAATGACATCTATATAAAGTAAAGGCTTTTGCCTTAGAAAGAGACAGCAAACTAGCAACCCTGAGGACAAGGTTACCTTGGCTCAGTTGGTTTGGTAGAGCTGGGGAAAACAGCGGAAAAGCGACCTCTTTCAATCTCGGTAAATGGCGGTTTTAGGATTATTTATCCCTTGGCGGCTAGGAAAATATTCTGCCACTATTCACGCGTCCCTCGATTTCAAATAATAATTCAGCGTTAAATACACTGTAGATCATGCCGTAATTTTTTTTTCTCTATCTCTGGCACGCGAATTTCAGTAAAATGCATCTGTAAAGGACTTAAAAACTGTCAATGTTACTTGTATTTACTTGACCCGTTGTCGAGCTTGATTCAATGATTTACCGATTGAGAAGATTTTCCATTTTTGAAGTTATAATGCATGGTTCAATTTGACTTGTTACCATCCCCCCGGGCAACTCCCGGGACAAGTTCAGCCCTTCGGGCCCGGGGTGGAGAATTCTTTGAAGCGGTCCTGTCCCAGGGGTAGGGGATGGGGCAAATAAAAAATGTCTTCTCGTGATTCTTCGAAGTACATATCATTTCTCGCGCAGTTGACACGATGGTTGCGGACCTCAAGACTGCGTATTGTTAAGGAAAAACGCAGGAATTTGTCAGAGGCTGGTTGGAGAGGAATAACCTATCAAAATCAAAGTATGTATATGTAACGGTATGTTTTAAAATTTGAAAGGAATGTGCGTATGATGCGTACTCAAACTGAGTTTATTCTTCGGTAAAGAAGGACAGAAATATTTCTTCAGCCTAGCTCTAAAGATAAGAAAAATTACATGAAAACGGATACAAGGCTTTTGATAAAGTACATAGATAAACAGAGTTTCAGTCCAGTTTTCCTATGAAGTGTTCTATCAAGGAGCCGCTTTTTTAAGAGTTTTCGTCTTCGTTTTCATTTTCTAATTTAATGTTCGTGTTTTAACTACATTATGACGTCCGTTATCCTTCTCTCAATTAACTCTGGAAAACGTTTATAAAAGTTCTGTAAACGTGTCGTTTAGCTTTTGTACGGGATCAAAACGATATACCAAAAAACGTTTAATTATGAGGTCGATCAGGGGCTCGGCGGTGGGGAGATGTCTATTTCTGCGTGCCCTGGGGTGGGGTCAGACCTCCAAGAAAGAAAAAAATTGCAAATCCCCGGGGGGGGCCATGGTTACAGGTCAAATTCAACCATGCATAAGATGCGGTAAGCCTGTCGAGTTTCAGATAGAGCTTCATGAAAAAACCTTAATTTCTCAGACGCTTCGCGGGTAGCTTATGGTGCAAGGCCAGGTCCGTACAGTTCATTACTGATTGGCAAGCCCCACCTAGCTCTTTTAAAGGAAACAACCATCCCTGTATTAAAGTTAAGCGGCTGCCCACTAAACAAGGTCTTGACAAAGGAGTTAGAGTATCTGGCCGATAGAGCCACTTTTTAAACGGCAAGTATGACAGTGATAAACTACATTGCAAATGAGTCAAAGCGTTTTCACAACCATGTCGCCAACTGCGTTGCCTTACGAACTCACAATGGTCAGCTCTTCAGTTGGCTTTATTAGCTTAAAGGATAAAGGGATAGAGTTTCGCTTGAAGATCAGGACATTCCTTATTTTCAAGTCGTAACCTGTCAAACATGACTGCGAGCTGTAATTCAGTGTTTGCTACTGCACCATGCTTGCGACATCGGTCGAGAAAGGAACGACCGCGCAGCTTCAGAACAGGGGGGATTGGGACCTCGAACTAAAATACCGGAAATTGTCGCCTGTAAGCCCTGGGCTTGTTCATCTTTATAAGGGGTTTTAGCAGGATTTATAAACGGAGGGGCTTATATCCGAGGCCGGGCGCTTATACCCGGGCTAGAAAAAGCCCTTTGAAACAAGCTCGGGTAGTGCTTTTTGCATTTACTGGTTTTTAATTAGGCTTCAAAAGGTCAAAATAAAAAGAATTCATTTCAATACAAGTTAGAGGGGGCTTATAATGGGATGTATTTTTTTTGTTTACAGCGAGTGTTTCCTATAACTGAGGGAAGTGCTTAAACGCGGCAGTTTACATCATTAGGATTTTTGCGTACATTTCTAAGCCAACAACGACTTGATTAATCGTATTAGCCATAGATGTAATATCTGACTGCTTCCTTCTCGCGGACTGATGGCTGAATTACACTGAACGGAATAGGTCAGAAATTTGCATTAGTATAAACTTTACATGCCAAATGCAGACAGTAACGATAATTAAGTAGATAAATGAAGCTATATTATTTAAAGTATAGTGGTCCTGGTATTTGCTGGTACAACAGAAGCCAAAGCGATGAGTAAAAAGTTGATAAAGTGGTTGCATCACTGTAGTGCCAAGACTAAAAGCAGTACTGCACACTGTTATGAAGTAGATGAACGGATGAGATTCAAGTCCAGGTAGGACCTGCCACTAAGCACAACGAAAATTAACCTCAACGAAACACACAAGCAAAGTTTCATTGCAGGAATACTGACAACAGATTTAGGTGGTTCTTTCATACGGTAATATTTCTTTTCCAATAACAAACAAAAATGCAATTTCAAATATTTTCTTTGGCACTGAGAATAAGAGGGTCAAGCATTTGCTGTTCCAACCATTTGGCTCAGTTCTTCTTCAGGAGGTTCTTTATCCACAGTTTCAAGAGTCCGTTGAAGTTTTGTTTCCGGGAGACTCATACAAAGTATACCCGCAAGCAAAGCATTGATTCCCATGATAGCGAATGGCAGCAACGGATGGACACGATTCTACAAAGACAAATTACACACACGTCAGGTAACATCTACAACAGCAACGTGTTCATCCTCTCCTGCCGTTTGGCATCATGGGTATCAACGCTTTGATTGCCGCGCTACTATGCATGACATTACCGGAAACGCGTAACCAACCAACTTTGGAGACCTTTACAACATCAGATCAACAAGGTGACACCATGAAAGAGATGATGGTTAAGGAAAGCGATGATGGACATACAGATGATAGCCGTTTGTAAAAACAGGGTTACACCAGGTTAACATAGATTGCTTAAATCGACTTAAACCTTTCTCTCTTGTGAGCAGCCCAACGAAAAATTCTAAATTTCACTTATAAAATTCTCGATACTTATGTACTTAGATAATGGATATAATACTTATATAGATATAGATATAATACTTTATACCATGCGAAAGTTAATTCGCCACGATGCTGTATCGAAATGGCCTCATAGAATAGAATAGAATAGAAAAATAGAATAGTTCTTTTTATTATTATTAAACACGGTAAATTCTATCAGGAGTATAAAAATTCTTGATAACCTAACTATCCTAAACAAAAATGCAAACCTAACTAGAACCAATCTAACTGAAACTTGGTTTTCATGAATGCCATGTATACTTAATATTAGAAATTAAGATTAACTAATCGTTAAAAACATGTCACATGGCAGAACTGCTCCACTATAACTAAACCTGTTCTTCATAAATGCCTACCTCGATCGATTTCTCCATTTCTTATTGCCACAAATCCCCCGGTTATTTCCTCATAACCAGCTAGAGTTAAGCAAATTTGGAAGGCGTTTGCGATATCTGGTAAAATGACATCTATATAAAGTAAAGGCTTTTGCCTTAGAAAGAGACAGCAAACTAGCAACCCTGAGGACAAGGTTACCTTGGCTCAGTTGGTTTGGTAGAGCTGGGGAAAACAGCGGAAAAGCGACCTCTTTCAATCTCGGTAAATGGCGGTTTTAGGATTATTTATCCCTTGGCGGCTAGGAAAATATTCTGCCACTATTCACGCGTCCCTCGATTTCAAATAATAATTCAGCGTTAAATACACTGTAGATCATGCCGTAATTTTTTTTTCTCTATCTCTGGCACGCGAATTTCAGTAAAATGCATCTGTAAAGGACTTAAAAACTGTCAATGTTACTTGTATTTACTTGACCCGTTGTCGAGCTTGATTCAATGATTTACCGATTGAGAAGATTTTCCATTTTTGAAGTTATAATGCATGGTTCAATTTGACTTGTTACCATCCCCCCGGGCAACTCCCGGGACAAGTTCAGCCCTTCGGGCCCGGGGTGGAGAATTCTTTGAAGCGGTCCTGTCCCAGGGGTAGGGGATGGGGCAAATAAAAAATGTCTTCTCGTGATTCTTCGAAGTACATATCATTTCTCGCGCAGTTGACACGATGGTTGCGGACCTCAAGACTGCGTATTGTTAAGGAAAAACGCAGGAATTTGTCAGAGGCTGGTTGGAGAGGAATAACCTATCAAAATCAAAGTATGTATATGTAACGGTATGTTTTAAAATTTGAAAGGAATGTGCGTATGATGCGTACTCAAACTGAGTTTATTCTTCGGTAAAGAAGGACAGAAATATTTCTTCAGCCTAGCTCTAAAGATAAGAAAAATTACATGAAAACGGATACAAGGCTTTTGATAAAGTACATAGATAAACAGAGTTTCAGTCCAGTTTTCCTATGAAGTGTTCTATCAAGGAGCCGCTTTTTTAAGAGTTTTCGTCTTCGTTTTCATTTTCTAATTTAATGTTCGTGTTTTAACTACATTATGACGTCCGTTATCCTTCTCTCAATTAACTCTGGAAAACGTTTATAAAAGTTCTGTAAACGTGTCGTTTAGCTTTTGTACGGGATCAAAACGATATACCAAAAAACGTTTAATTATGAGGTCGATCAGGGGCTCGGCGGTGGGGAGATGTCTATTTCTGCGTGCCCTGGGGTGGGGTCAGACCTCCAAGAAAGAAAAAAATTGCAAATCCCCGGGGGGGGCCATGGTTACAGGTCAAATTCAACCATGCATAAGATGCGGTAAGCCTGTCGAGTTTCAGATAGAGCTTCATGAAAAAACCTTAATTTCTCAGACGCTTCGCGGGTAGCTTATGGTGCAAGGCCAGGTCCGTACAGTTCATTACTGATTGGCAAGCCCCACCTAGCTCTTTTAAAGGAAACAACCATCCCTGTATTAAAGTTAAGCGGCTGCCCACTAAACAAGGTCTTGACAAAGGAGTTAGAGTATCTGGCCGATAGAGCCACTTTTTAAACGGCAAGTATGACAGTGATAAACTACATTGCAAATGAGTCAAAGCGTTTTCACAACCATGTCGCCAACTGCGTTGCCTTACGAACTCACAATATGGTCAGCTCTTCAGTTGGCTTTATTAGATAAAGGGATAGAGTTTCGCTTGAAGATCAGGACATTCCTTAGTTTCAAGTCGAACCTGTCAAACATGACTGCGAGCTGTAATTCAGTGTTTGCTACTGCACCATGCTGGCGACATCGGTCGAGAAAGGAACGACCGCGCAGCTTCAGAACAGGGGGGATTGGGACCTCGAACTAAAATACCGGAAATTGTCGCCAGTAAGCCCTGGGCTTGTTCATCTTTATAAGGGGTTTTAGCAGGATTTATAAACGAAGGGGCTTATATCGGAGGCCGGGCGCTTATACCCGGTCTAGAAAAAGCCCTTTGAAACAAGCTACAGAGCAGTGCGTTTTGCATTCACTGGTTTTTAATCAGGCGTCAAAAGGTCATGATAAAAAGAATTCATTTCAATACAAGCTAGAGGGGGCTTATAATGGGATGTATTTTTGTTTTACCGTGGGTGTTTCCTATAACTGAGGGAAGTGCTTAAAGGCGGCAGTTTACGTCATTAGCATTTTTGCGTACATTTCTCAACCAACAACGACTTGATTAATCGTATTAGCCATAGATGTAATATCTGACTGCTTCCTTCTAGCGGACTGATGGCTGAATTACACTGAACGGAATAGGTCAGAAATTTGCATTAGTATAAACTTTACATGCCAAATGCAAACAGTAACGATAATTAAGTAGATAAATGAAGCTATATTATTTAAAGCATAGTTGTCCTGGTATTTGCTGGTACAACAGTAGCCAAAGCGATGAGTAAAAAGTTGATAAAGTGGTTGCATCACTGCAGTGCCAAGACTAAAAGCAGTACTGCACACTGTTATGAAGTAGATGAGCGGACGAGATTCAAGTCCGGGTAGGACCTGCCAGTAACCACAACGAAAATTAACTTCGCCGAAACACACAAGCAAAGTTTCATTGCAGGAATACTGACAACAGAATTTAGTGGTTCTTCCACACGGTAATATTTCTTTTCCAATAACAAACAAAAAAATATGGCACTGAAAATAAGAGGTTCAAGCATTTGCTGTTCCAACCATTTGGCTCAGTTCTTCTTCAGGAGGTTCTTTATCCACAGTTTCAAGAGTCGGTTGAAGTTTTGTTTCCGGGAGACTCATACAAAGTATACCCGCAAGCAAAGCATTGATTCCCATGATAGCGAATGGCAGCAACGGATGGACACGATTCTACAAAGACAAATTACACACACGTCAGGTAACAATGGAATAATTGTTCATCCTAGCAGATATGGAGCGTTTAAAAATAGCAGTGAATTGGGAGAAAAGACGACTGTGTAAATTAAAAATGATTTGGAATTCTGACTCACCATCCTCAATGGATAGTTCAAACAAAACCTAGTTTCTCTTAGAATTACCTCTTTTATATTTAAATGGTGCCTACAAAGTTTTCTTAACCCTTAATTTTCTCTCACGCAGAATGATACTATGATTTTTCTCATTTCACACCAAAGAGCTTTAAAATATTATACAACTATTTTACCTTATCATCAAACAATCCCAAATGGTCCTAAAAGTATGGGGGTGCGTACGTATAAGCCGAGTTAATGCCCCAGGAATGGAGCGCCCTACTGGTAATCATAGCATTATTAAATACACATTAAATTACTTACAGTATACACAATGAAAGGAGAACAGAGCGAGCCAATGCGTGCAGCAGCTGAGGATGTTCCAACACCAATGTTTCTGTAGTCAAATGTTATAAATATCATTACTTATTATTACTTTTATATACCCATTCCTAAAGCTTTTTCAGTATAAAATTTTCAACTGGCCGCAAAGCTTTTTCAAAATCTCGATGGGTACAGGTTTGCTTAAAAATTCATTGGCGCATACTTAGAGTTTCGTGAAACGTTGCGTTGCCCTAATGTTGCCCTCTTTTTTTTTCGTAAACCGTACATCGGTCAAGGGAAACTTATACTTAGCTAAAGAAAAAAAATCTAGTCCTTGACAATACTTCAATTTAGCTTAAAGAAAAAAAAATTTTACTACCTTTGAGAACCTCCCATAATATTCCATTCAACTCACCAACCACCACCACTAACCCCTATAAACTGAATAAAATGCTAATTGCTTGTAAAATACTAATTAAAACCATTAAACGAATGCTTATTCGAAGTTATCGCATGCTCGCGCCTTCTGACAGACCTTTTTGTTAAAAAAAATAATCAAATGCAGATATCACATCTGGATTCAGAAACTATCGTCCGATCGACGTGTTCTTGTTGTGCGTGTCTTTATATCCAAGGGTGACCATTCAAAGTGTACAGACATAGTACTGGAAATATGTCTCGCCAACCCTTGATAATGTGTACAGTCTAATATAAATACCTTACAGAAGTTGGAAATAGTTCCACGGTGTAAAGATACACTCCATCAAAGGAGATGGTAATGAATAACTTGGCTAAAATCATGGACAGTATTATTTTGCCAGCAAGTGCACCTACAAAACAAAAAAAAACAAACAAACAAACATATGTGTAAACAAATTCATTAGATAAGGCAACCTTTCTTATGTTTTTTTTTTCGCTTAAATTAAATATCATCCGATGCTAATGATATGCCAGGCGGCAGACAAGTAAACAGACTTCCTTTAGCGCAAAATAATGATCCTAAGCGGAGCTCTCGCGCGCGAAGCGCGCGCAGCGGAGCACCGTTGGTACGAAAATGTGGTAAACTACCCATCCGAGAAAATTTGGTAATCACGTGACCGTACACCGACCGACCGCCCAACCGTCCGTCCGCACCACAGGCATACCAACGTAAAATAACTCATTCAACAGGTATGGCAACCCAAATGTAACTAGAGGTTATTTTGACGGGAAATCGCATAGCCACCCGCGTCTTGTGAAGCAGAGACAACTAAAGAGTCAATAAAGACGAAAACGGAAAGCGGAAATTCTTTCTGTATCCGTGTTTTGTAAAGTATTAGGCTTAGATTAATTGTCATGTCGACAAATTTGGAATATAGAACGAGAGAAAGACAGAGAAAAAGAGAAAGTGGGCGGCAGGCCAGCGAAGCTCAACGAGATAAAGGGCGGCAGAGATCGAGGGCGAGAGATAAAAAACAAAGGAGACATTTTTTTGTTGGAAGAACAACATGACAATTTTGTAGCGGTGGTGACAAAATTAGAAATGCTAGCGGCCACCAATGCAAGGTGAAAGTGAGCGGCAGTGAAAAAACAGTGAACGAGAAAACGTACGACATTTCAGTCCATAAAACGTGTAATTAAGAAGTTTCTGGAAGTTTCACGTTGCAGTCGTGCAAAACAACGGNTCTTGTGAAGCAGAGACAACTAAAGAGTCAATAAAGACGAAAACGGAAAGCGGAAATTCTTTCTGTATCCGTGTTTTGTAAAGTATTAGGCTTAGATTAATTGTCATGTCGACAAATTTGGAATATAGAACGAGAGAAAGACAGAGAAAAAGAGAAAGTGGGCGGCAGGCCAGCGAAGCTCAACGAGATAAAGGGCGGCAGAGATCGAGGGCGAGAGATAAAAAACAAAGGAGACATTTTTTTGTTGGAAGAACAACATGACAATTTTGTAGCGGTGGTGACAAAATTAGAAATGCTAGCGGCCACCAATGCAAGGTGAAAGTGAGCGGCAGTGAAAAAACAGTGAACGAGAAAACGTACGACATTTCAGTCCATAAAACGTGTAATTAAGAAGTTTCTGGAAGTTTCACGTTGCAGTCGTGCAAAACAACGGCAAAGAAATGTACGAAAAAAGTGTGCTGCACGTGCAAAGTTCCTTTGTTGCTAATTAGACCTATTGTTGTTTTCCACCGTTCTCCGGCGTTGCCTTCGCCGCTTAGCATTACACGATCTTCTATTTTCTTTTTAACCAAATATAAATATTATCGAGAGCTTCGCTTTTAGCCCTGGCTAAATCTATATATTAGCAATGTTTATAGCATTCCGCGGTCACCATGTCCCATGTTTTTGTTTTCTTCCGTTTATATGAATATGCCGGTTAACACGATTAATCATTAATCGTTTAATATTTTTTTCAAAAAACCTGGCTGTATTAAAGCCATCATGTTTTATGATAAAACTAAGGGGCTGTTTACATGGAGGGAGGATGTTCCTAGCACCAGGAAGATGCTAGAAGGCGGATCATCCTGGACATCATGCATCGTCCCAGAAGTAAGGGTGGTATACTGTGACATGAGTACTGATGGAGGAGAGATTCCTGCCGTTTCGGTCATTTCTTTCATCCAAAGAAATATTTTGGATTTCTGCAGCCTACTTCAAACAAACAAGTTTTGTGAGGCATGTATCATTTTTTGGTATGCTTCGCAAAAGCCTGCAAGTCTCCAGTGATAAACACGCCTGCTGTCTGTAACAAAACTACCGCGTGAATCGCACTAGCCGGCCCTATGTTGCACCCCGTCTCGCCTAAAAGGGTTTAACTTACTGATCAAAGCTTAAAGTGAGTACGCTTCTTGTATTTATATATACTAGCAACATATGTTTTCTGTATTCAGTTTACATGCAAAAGCTGTACTTGTCCCTAGCGTTAGCAAGATCCTAGCACCATGTAAACTGCCCTCGCTAGGAAGATCCTAGTACTAGGGACCAACAGAACAAAAACGGCGGCAGGTCGTTCAATGGGTTATCTTTAATCTTAAATTCCTTCTCTACTGTTAGCCACACAGGACCGAAATTTCTGCATGTAAACCCAACGAAAAGTTGTTTCGCCTTCTAGAATCTTCTTGGTACTAGAATCTTCCTCCCACCACGTAAACAGCCTTTAAAGCGACTCCTACCTTTACTAGTATTGTCCTCGCTTGCTATAAGAACGGATCCAAATGATGAAAACGCAGCTAAGATCAAACACGCAATAATGCTTTTCTTCCTTCCAAATCTACAGGAAACAGGAATAACTTTCCTTAATTTTACTTTTATTTTTTTGGTTTGCTGGCTTAAGGTATAAAGCACAACATACTGACGTTTTTTAAACAATACGTGATCTAATACGCGCTGCAGATGATTATTAGAAGGAACCATCGCACAGAAACTCGCGACAGCTCAGAATGTTTAGAAATTAGATCCAGTCTCTCCAGCAGCTGTCAGTTTATCACGGCCATGGCTTTTCGAACAGAATCTTAAAAGAAAAACGCGAAAACTCACAATTAACACCAGCCATTTTTATCGATCGGTGCCTCTGGTGATTGCTGATCAAAAAGTGCGCAAGCATAAATCACATCCATCACAGAGGTCAACTAACTGTCAATAAGGCTCCAAAATTCCGGCAGCGGATCCAAAGACTTTTTGCAGTCAAAAACGTGCCCACGAAAGGCTCAAAATCCGTAGAACTTAGCGGCAGACGAACTTCCAAACCACTTAAACAAAAATCAAGGGCACTACGTAAACGTGGGGGAGCTCAAAATGAAGATCAACTCGAGTGTGTAAATAAACAGTAAACTATTGAACCATACCTTTGGCATAATACCTCTAACCGCTGACATTTTAAACTTGGAATTTTCTCGCTATCCCCCGTTGATTGTACAAAACGTACTGTGGAAATAGCGGCCAAATAGCCGCACTTTTTCCTCCACGATAAACTTGATTTTTTACCGCCATTTTAAAAATCCAAGTAAAGTCACCATAACAACATTAAATGTAGTTACTAGGGCTCTTTTTAGCTCATTTTGGATAGAGAATCCTTATTAACAATGACCGAGACCAGGTTTTATGAGCCGGCGAGACTGAGCACCACACCCAAACCCTTGTTTTCACTAAAACTGCTGGACACCACAATACAACGTGGTTGAGATTATATTGTTATCTAAGGTCTTCCTTTTGGATAGGCCTGGATTTGAGTAGGCAACATGGCGGACTGTGAGACTAGAACCCGGACCCCTGTTGTGGATGTCACCGAGGAGGGTCAAATTCTGTGCGATGCGAAGTTTAAGCCAAAAATTTACATTTAAAAAAATTTCGAGAAATGACCAGAGATAACTTTTTCGACGTATCAGTTATGAAAAACAGTAAATCATTATATGTACTAATTAACAATTTCTTTGGAGTTGTTGCGGATCTTTGTGGTAGTCCAATGGTAAGGGAAAGGGACAAGCATACGAAAGGCTTAGGTTGGATAAAAGGTTGTAAATTTCTTTCTTTTTAGTAGAACCACTTTCAATAAATGTTCACATATTGAGTACTAAAATATGGTCAAGGAAAACCTGTTAAAGCGCTTCAGGATTCTTTGATCGCGAAAAAATGTTTAAAAGATGAAGAGTATGATGATAGTTAGAACAAACCTGTTAAAGAGCCAAACGCCTAATGGTATAGCTGGGAGCTCGATCAAACTTGTGAGAAAAAAGTTCAAGAAGAAATTTCCTCCAATAGAAGGCGCGCTTAGGAAAACACCGTAATAAACCAGAGCATTGACAAACCTGTAAGCAACATAAGTAAATAATGAATGAATGAACGAGTGAATGAATGAATGAATTAAAATCAATAAATAACAATTTCATCGAAAATTAAACACAACCAGTGGTGATAAACATTGTGAACTATCGCATTTTTATATAAACTTGACGTTTCGTATTTTTCCTAGTCAACCTTTTTTTTCAAAAGCGATCAAAAGTGACCGTTACAAATTTGACAAGGGGTCTGGAAATGAGACCAAACAGTGAATATAAAAGGCAACAAAATAAAGCAACAGCTTTTCGCTGCTGACTTTGGCAATAAAAGCTTGCTTAACATCTTGGATATAAAATGTCTCCCTTATCTTCCAGTAATAATCTGATTTGATTTGTCAGACGCTAAAATTTCAAAATAAGTAACGATTTAGTGGCAGTACGATCAAGTAGTTCTTTTTCTAATTTCTGATCAAACTGGAATTTGGAAAACCGAAGTACCCGGACCGTAATGCGCCAGTAGAGATAAACACGAGGGAGGCCTACGAACTCGCCGAGCATTAGTCTATCTGGTTGAAAACATCATGAGAGTATTAAATGATTGTAATAAAGAGTAAAGAAAGTACAGAGTAGAATGCAACTTGTATACTCATTCAAGGAGGCAATGAAAAAGAATAGCAGAAAAACTGCATCCAAACTTACCAGCAGTACCAAGACAAAAGTGTTTTTTGTACCATTTTGCGTGTAGCAAAGAGTTCTCGAACATCGCCCAAACGCTGATCATCTTCTGGAGGTTTAATGTCCATATCGGACATGGGCATTTTGTTAACTTTTGCTATTTTTCGGAAAATTTCCTTTGCTTGCTCGGTTTTTCCTTTTATCATCAACCAGCGTACAGATTCAGGGGTCAGACTGTCAACGTAAAGAAAAATCAGAAGTAATGTAAAAAAAAAGCACGTTACAAGACGGAAATCTTTCTAACTTTTGTGAATGGCTTCTACACTTACAACCAGCCAAGCAATGCGGGAATTCCAGGAACCGATGTGGCAATACTTAGCATTCTCCAGTCTCTAATGAGGTAACCCAATCCAGCCAATGCCATGAGAGAAATGCTCCAGCAGTACCAAAGAGACATACCCATCATGCTGCGATGTCGGACACCGACAAATTCTGTCACAAGAACAAATATGGCGACGCTCGCTCCACCTGTTAAAAAAAAAGAATTATTATTGATACAAAATACTTCACCGTTCTGATTGGCTTTAATCCTCCAGCTAATTCTTCATAACCAGCATTTCCCCCAGGCAACGATTATTTTTAAATATTTTGAATGAACGATAAAAAAATCACTAAATTTCTGATCTGATTAATTATTCAGATCTCGGAGCCTGTTATCCACCGCGGTCAAAATTATAACACCCTTCTCCATCTGTACAGTTCTTTGCATCATATTCAGCCTCAGGCAATAATTGTAAAGTATAATATGCACGTCGATCTAACTGCTACGTATTTGTCGCTTTTTGCGTGTGATGTAATAATAATAATAATAAATTGATTATTTCTTATTCCATATACATCTATCACATTCATCTCTTTCACAGGAGCATATGAACACATAACTGACTAGCTCACAACATCAGTGGCTTCAAAGCTCAGTTGGTTAGAGCATCGCACCGGTATCGAGAGGTAACGGGTTAAATTCCCGTTAAAGCCCTGAATTTTCTTCAGGCTTCTTACGCAATTGCATCAATTTCGTTCACAACTGCGAGTATCATTCTTTATTTGATTTTTTGATAAGGGTTCATGTAAAACTAAAGGCTAACAGTATAAACAACCGGCGGAATAAAATGAAACGGTCCTTTAAATAATGAGCTCAGTAGCTTTCCATGAGTTGTATAGCCTCCTTCGCAGGCGTTCTTAGGGGTGCTCCTATTTCCGTTTGTGGGGAGGGACAAAATACGAGCTGCCCTAAAAACGCCTACGATGACCCGAGGCTGTGAGTTGTAAGAAAAAAGTTTAATTTATTGAAAAAACTTCTTACCCACACCAAGGCCCACGATAATCTTGAACACAACAAAGAGTGAAAAGATTTTGGGGAATGAAGATGCCAGACTAAAGACAGCGATGAAAAACCCAGAGATGAAAATGGTTGGCTTTCGTCCAAACTTATCTGTAAAAGGACCAATGATTATGGCACCGAAAAAGAAACCAAGGAACACGGCAGCTACAGCTAAGGTTCCATAAATTGATTCGCTACAAACCAGATCGAACTGTAAAAAGGAAGAACGCAAAGTTATCAGCAAATAACAGAGAAAAAGAAATACCAAAAGCTAACTTGCGCAGAGGAGGAAAAAGCAGCTTGATCAAAACTTGACTTGGGTGGTTTGGAAAATTTCAGGGTAGAGTATTTTTTTTTTTGTAATAGTACCTTTACCATAAGCAATTACACTCTCTTCCTTTTATAATTTTAAATATATTCCAGTGAATCTCTCGTTGTAAGTGATCTGATTGGAAAAAATGTCTTAGTCAGGTTCTATCACGTCTTAATTCACCCTACCAGCAGAACCTTTCTTTCGCTTGCTCGTACTTGAGCATGCGCTGTATGTTGCTAGGATACAATTTCGGACCCACGCCTAATAGCCGTGCCCTTGGAACAACGGGTTCAGTTATGACAATTGGTTTATCAATCAGTGAACGGATGCTCACCCCAGAAAAACCAGTTTGACGAGGGATAACGAGACTGACCAGTCCAGAAGGTCGGGCTGAGGCGATTTCAAAGGCTTGACACGATTCAGGCAGAGCCAGCCTCCCTTTCACTTCTTCAGTGTAGAGGACAAAAGGAGTCTCTACTTGCAGGGTAGTTTGTGTTTAAAATTCATTACCATGAAACTCCATAATAAAAGAAAAAGGTAATTTTTAAAAATTCACCACAACACAAATGCAAATCAGCCTCTATATCCTTCTTTTTACCTCCGTGACAACGGTAGTGAAGTCATCCACAAATTTCCAATCTTTTCTCGAGATGTTACACCGGTGGTCATAGTTGTCATCGCCTGGACTAAACTCCCCGTCAAATGCACAAGCTGTGCTGTTCTGTACGCACTTCCAGGGGGGTTCCGCCGTTATGATACCTGTCACCATTACAGCCCAACCAAAGAGAAGAGAGGAAAGTACGTTAAAAAGAATAAGGAGTCGTTTTTGGAACCAACCAAAACTACCAACTTCTTCTAAAATTTCATCCGCAGTGAGAGGCATTTTTCCTAGAACACAAACAAATCAAGCAAAAGTCATGTGGGAAAAATATTTGCTCCTCCCCCGTCCTTCTTATGGTTGAAGGTAGAAGTTTAATGACTGCTTACAAATGTTTTAAGAGAAAGGCGGTGTAAAAAAAATTACATGGTTATAATCATTGCTGCAAGTTCACAAAGGCAGGTTTGAAATCTCTTCTAAAATGGCGAGAACAAATGTACTTTCGACTTCAACAAGGTTAAGGCACAGCTACAGATCATCTTTTTTTTTTCTAACTGAATTAAATATCTGTTTCACGTAGATGCCGAAAGGCCGGCAAAGTTTGCAAGTATTTATTACCGCCCAGTTAAGCTAGTTGTACAATTACAGGCTTTGTCCTGTGTCTTCGGATTTTCGTCAGGCGCACTTCATTCATAGAAAAGGTCGACTCCCCAGAATAACGCTTGTTCGATATTTATTTGTAACAAATCTCCACGGAAACGAAAGTTAATTCTCAGCTGAATTCTGTAGAGAGATCTACCCAAACAGTCCTCGAAATTTAGGTCAAGTACGATACAGCAAAGTTTCATCGCGAACTTGCCGTTATCGTTCGGCAAAGACTCGTGAAAAACATTCCAAATGCCAAACCTTCAAATATTCTATTTCCTTTCGCTTTCACAATGTATTTAAAATGTATGTTTAAGACTAAGGCAGCGGCGTTTAAGCTTGGTGAACGTGCACAGTGCGAAAGTACTGTACTCGCTAGCCATTGGTGTGAACACAGCGTTTTGGTGCTGATTTGGGTACACAAGGGTAGCTCGCGTAGCAGGCGCCGAAAGGGGTAGGGGATTAGGAGGAAGGGGAAAGGGGAGGGGGATTGGGGACTAAGGGTGAGGGACGGCGCTCCCTTCCCTTTTCCCTACCCCCTCCCCTTTTTGCGACTGTCACGCAGTTACCCAACAAGTGTGAAGAGCCCCAAAACTCTTCCACGGTATAAACGAAATCAGAAAAATTCTTTTGGTCTCGACGGCATTTTTTTATTATTATTTTTGTTTTGCATTTTGCTCCAGAGTTTTTAATGACAACTCACTTTTGATAAGCGACAAACGTTGTCTAAAAGAGCTTAAAATGATCGTATTCTTTCGTAAAAGATTCAGACGTGTCAGAACATGAAAGAAAGTCTCATAAGTCTGTATACAAAGCCAAAAATTAACAAAAGATATGAAGAAATATGATATGAAGAAATCATGTGACTTGAGATCTTAACAAAAGCACACCACAAGATAGGTTCTCACTTCCTCTGCTCGTTTCACTCGCCCAAATAGGAGAGCTTGCTCGCAGGCTACTGCTTAGCTTGAATTGTCCAAGGACAACAAGTTTATCCTGCGTTTCCAGGGAACTAAGAAAAACAGCAAATTATTGTACGCGGTCGCGGTCGTTGCACACAGGAGCTAAAACAAAATTATTTCCAAAATTTATATCCATTTCTTTTTTTTTAAATCGCTGGCTACATCTGCTCCATGAAGGTCTTTGAGTAAATCCCATCCACGGGCAGCCTGCGTAGCAAGCGTTTCTGAGCGAAGTTGGAACGAGAGCAAAAATGCAAATAATAACTCGATCGCAAACGCTTAATCCCTAGAAAAATGACGGATCGAAAGTTTTCACAAATAAATGCAATGCGTCACAACACATTCTAAAAATGCAAATTACTGCACAATAAAACTCGGGTGAGATCATAAGAAATTCATGATGTCTAACCTTTCTATATTTTTATGTATGGAAGATCAAAGCTTCCAAGTGGGTATAACCATTGGATTCAATTTCTGAGACCACATCTGGGATTCTTGTTTATAAAACAAAACAAAGTTGTGGTATGGATAGCTATGCGACGCATATCAGTTCTGACAACTGGAATTCAGGTGCTTCTGAGTACTTCTGAGTGAGATACCCCGCAAGTCAATATGTCTTGTTGACCATAAGAGCATGCAATTTGTAGATATTGAAATCTAACGTTGGAATTGAAGTAGAAAAACAATTTAAGCCGAGAACAAATCGAAGCAAATTGCGAGAGAACCCCTTGAATAGATGCAGCTCCCATCTACATTTTTATTACAGGGAATACAAAAACCAAAATGCCGTTGACATGAGGATAATGCCAAACACGTTTGTTTTTTTCTTGTAGTACCAGCGCGCTGTTCAGGTTCGATTACCATCGCTCGCTCGGTTCCCGGAGCGGCTGGTAATCGAACAAAATCGAGCAAATTTTCCTGATCTTACCTGCTTTGATTCACCAGCAACCACTCAAGGACTAAGGACTGTGAATCTGTGTAGAGTGATGTTTTCGTCATGTACTTCGTATTCTCGTAATGGCGTGACGTGAGAACTGGCACTGAGCCGGAACTAAGAAAGCGTGAACCAGAGATTTATGGAACGCGAACTTCGGAAAAAACAAAAACACTAATTTTTATTATTTAAGAAACTTTGTATAATAAAGTTGACGCAAAGATTGACCGAGATTGTAAGAACTCCCTCCTATAAGAACTGTTAAAAGGGCCCAAAGTTATTTTAATAATTACCTTTTGTCATTTATTTTCTATTTGTTTTTGCTTTACCTTCGGAGATATTAGCATTTATAGTTGATGCTATCTTTTGCAATTCGAAGTGAAATAAAATTTTTGATTGATTGATTGATCGCTCTGCGCTTTGCCGGGTTGTTTTCCTAGAGATCACGTTCGAGGAGTATTTTAACTTCCAAACTCTGCACTGTTCAGCATAGTTTTGTCCATTTTTTACCAAGGTTGGTTTGGCCATCCTATATAATTTTTCTTGAGAGGAATCAATTTAACAATTTGACTCTTGTCCTCCCGGAGGTACGTGATATGGCGTAGGGTGTAGGTGGTAGGTGGGTGTGACGGGGCATTGTTTGGGGAGCCTAAGTATCAGGCGTTTCTAGAGGGGAAGGAGGAGAAAATCTCTTCTCCCCTAGCACCTAAATAAGGCCTGATATTCAAACTATTGTCAGGGCTGGTACTTATAACAGAGTGTGCAGATTTTTCTCACAGAGAGCTTACGCCGTTCCCATGAGCTACAAAAAATGCGAAACAGCTGTCAACGGCTATAACCCTGCTCTTTTCAGGTTCTATCGGTGTCGACTTATGTCTTGCAAGGAAATTTATGAGTCCAAATGTAGTACTATCAGCTGTACAGATTTTGTGTCCTTTTTATTGTTTTCACTGGTCGGATCAGCTCTGTATATCTTACACATGTTACATCCTGCGCCATATTCGGTTTGCTGTCCTTTGCACTCAATCGCCAGGGGGGTACTCCTGGGAATTCTTGGTGAAGGTACGGCCGCCCGGTTCTCCAAATCATGACCCTTTTTCACAACCTCGTCCCCAGGGCGCTTTTCCCTCAGTGGCTTTGGAGGTGGGGCGGGAAAAGGCCCTTTTCCCGCCCCACCTCCAAAGCCACTGAGGGAAAAGCGCCCTGGGGACGAGGTTGCCTATTTCACAACAAAAAATGTCATTTTGCACACACGTTTTCAAATTATAGGCAGAAATCATGTCGTCATTACTAAGATTAGAACGCTAATTATTGAAGATTTTTAGAAAAATGGTTACGTCGGCTACATCGATTTACTTAAACAAATCTTGCTCATTAAAATCCATTTCTTAGTTCCAGGGGCTGCTCGCAGTCGTATAAGCTTCTTGTCTTTCTTGTGTCCAGGAAAATAGCGGCTCATAAGGAAAGTAAAAAGCGTTAATTTATTTTACGTCACTAGGTAATAAAAAGAAAATAAAAGGTTCTTTTAAACGCTTTTTTTTTGTTTATATCACTCCTAGTGGTGCGCTTTCATAGGAAATAGAGTTTAGATGACCTGATTTTTGAAAATGAACTTAGGGACACTTGCAGCCATTTGAGTGAAACACGGCCCAAAGCAGAGTTTTTGAGGAAATACCACTGGGAAAATAGAGTTTAGATGACCTGATTTTTTAAAATGAACTTAGCGAAACTTGCAGCCATTTGAGTGAAACACGGCCAAGAGCAGAGTTTTTGAGTCTGCTAAGGTCAAAATTCCACTGACGAAGTAAAAGGAAAGGAAAACTAGCAAGGGCGAAGAGAATGAAAAGATGAGAAGAGAAAAAAGCAATGTTTGCGCTCTTAGCTAGTTTTTCTATTTGCTACTTTAAGATAGCTTGACGGAAGAGTAATATTAGCGTTAACGTTTTCAAAAATCCAGCAAAATCTAATTGCTTTGTAATTTGCCATATTTTAGTAAACGTTTTGGTTGCTGTTTGTACATCACATTTTCATCACAGAACGTGATATTAAAAAAAAAAAAAATGATAAAAAGGAAACAAAGAAATGGAAAAGAGAACATAAAGCTTCCCAGAAACAACATGGCGTTAAGCAGGCCTAACAATAAACTGAACTATAGCCGTAATAGCAGTCTTTGAAGGCAAAACGCCTGCCGAACCTTATTATCAAAAAATAAGGCTGGAACCCTGCGAAAAGTTTCAAAATACTCGAGGAATTTTCTTGTAAAAAATAATGATTAAAACTGGGCTCAAGTAGTTTAATGCCCAGGATGTATGATTTGTTGGCTATAACGTTTGAGGATGTACCCGGAAATGAAACTTGGTGCACAAAGAGCATCGTGCGTAAATAACATTTGAATGAACCGCTTATTTTCTTTTTTAATATACTCCTACTTCAGATAAGTAAACGCTACTTTACTTTCCTCGTGAGCCTCCTTTTCTTCCAGGAAATAAGCTATAAGAAGCTAAAACGACCGAGCAGCTTCTTGACCGCGTCTGAATGATGTCCTGGGGGCAACATACTGATTGTTCAGTTATTCATAACAACTTCGTGCGATTTGCATGTGTATTTCCGTGTATATAGATGGCGTCTAATTGTAAAAGTAAAGAGCCTGCTAGTACGTTTAAGCATTCTAATGTGATATTACCGTCAATGTGTCAGTCAAACTAACCTAGCCAAGTCATCAAGTTAACCAAAAGATTTTCCTACAATTACACAAGCCTTAGATCTAACGTCATCCTAATGGATTTGTGATGGTCGTTCAGTCAGCATGAACATTTTGTTGTATTCTGTTTTTGGATTCGTCGTCAACTTGAGCTACGTATTTTGCAGTGATATTTACCCGTCGATTAACTGGGACCCTCAAAATACCCTGTAAGTATATTGGGTGCTATGTATACTTTAGATAAACTGTGTATCGTGGATCCGTGACATTTACCAGGAACCTATGGATGATCGAAACGGCTCTTCTCGTCGGTGTTCGATCAAATTGGGCGAAGGAAAATACGAAATAAGGACATGGGAATTGAGTCTTTCGAGACCTAAGATCTATCACTACTCCATCAGCTTTTTATCAAAAGGAATACGTTCAACCCGATGTTCCCATTTATAAAGCAAAAATTATTAATAGTATTTAGCATTTTCTCCTCTATATCAGATCCACTAAATTAAGAATCCTTTTTATTTTTCCAACTACAAGAGCAAGTTCTTTTTTGCCCCTTTTCTCGTTATTTCTTAATTCTTTTTGTAATCTTTTTTAATCTGAGGAGAACTAAAATACCCAGGCTACTTTTGAATAAGTTCAAACAAATCCTTGGGAAAGACACTGTAAGTTTCAAATTGTCTACAAACAACTGTGAAGAAACCTGTTATCTATCAATGCATGTGATCGACGTGATTGAAATTTGAGGTGAGCGTTTGAGTAAAAAATACAACGCAACGATATCAATGCACAAAGTGTTCCAAGTAATACGTTACCCGCAGATACATAGTTTGGTTTCCTCCCTACAGAAATCGTTGGACAATATTGAGTAGAAAATTTTAATTTTTGATTTAAAAAATGTTTTTAGTTCGAGTAGTAAATACGTTGTGGGTCGCTCCACGAGAAGGAACCGGAGGATTTTATATATCATCATGTTGGTTGTAGAAACTAGCTGTACATGTATTTGAACTGCAAGGACGAGCGATTCTGGCGACAGCAGTAATACGTAGCACATTTACCACGGCTAGTAAGCTAGGCTATCGTCCAAATTTAATGTCTTTCAAAGCAATTATAGTAAAATTCTGGCAAAAGACTAGTACATGCTAGAACTTGAAAAATTGCTAGTTATATACAAAAGGAATGCATCTAACCGGTAGTAAGTCACAGTTAACTTTCAAGAGCACGTACCATATTATACTCGAGCTCTACTTATATGCAAATTTACTTTCGTTATTAAACGTAGAGACAACACTAAAATGTCGCAGCTGCTATTGATAACTTCAGAATTATTGTTAGAGATACTAAATTATTATTTTACGTCCGCCTCTCCAAGCTGAAAAGAATCGTCGATGAAACATTCTTGCCAAGAGCTGAAGAATACTTTTCAATGATTATCCCGGCCGGTCATCCGTTAATCTTAATAAGAACATGCCTAAAGTATTCTAAATATTTAAATTATCACTAGGTGTATGGAATCAGCCAATGAATGCAATATATTTGTGGTAAACTTTCCAAGGTTGAAAAATAGTGCTCAATAAATGCAAGGTAATAATTAGATAAGGCGGTACTAGCTGAAGGTCTTAAGTTGTTAACCAAAAGAGTATTAATTGCCAACAATTGTTATCTCAAGAATTCTTTGTTCTTTGGTTGACCGAAGACTGAAGAACAGCAATATCGGAATATTTGCAAGCATTCAACATGAACCATTAATCTTGTCTCTGTTAGTATGATTATATTTAGCTCTAACTAGAATGGCGTTGAAAAGTTTTAGAGAATTTTTGTCGCACCTCCTACTTTTTCATTTTCCGGAGCAGGAAAGTTGTGCAGTTTCGGTAGTGATTTTCACCGGATGCGGCTAGTTTTCCAATAAAATTAGAAATCTCGGGGGGTGTTAAGTCCAAAGTCGGAGGTGGATAATACCCAACCCTCCTCGATGCACACATTATACACTTAATGTCAGATCCCGAGGGAAACACTTAGTTTTGTTTCCCCAAGAGTCCTGATGTTTCCCTCGACTTCGTCTCGGGAAACATCAGGACTCGAGGGAAAAAAAAAACCAACTGGTTTCCCGAGGGACCTGACATTAAGTGTTTTGTTACATTTCTAGACTTTCACTTCAACAGCAACAAAAGAATAACCGGAGCGAACCAAAACAGTCGACTCGGTACTCATAACAACACAAATTTAATGCTCAAAACCACTGGATGAATGATTTACAAACAAAAGTACTTTCCTCATATTATCTGCATCTTTTTCCTCCACTAGCTGCTGTTTTTCTTCTGGGAACTTCTGGGATAACTTTAAAAATCGTCGCTTTTTAGCTTGAGACTTCGTTTTTGTGTTGTTGT